TACAGGCAGCACGTACACCTTTTAGGAGATATTTACTATTTTTCAGCATGTGACGTCACTGGGTTGGTTCATAGAGCTCTGCAGTGTCCTCAAATCACCTTCATGCCCAGCATCCTAATGCCAATCCTGGCTTTGTATCTGTTCCCATTCAAGTTTGGGGAATCATTCCTTTCCACAGGTTTATGGTATTTGCTAGACCAAAGGGACAGGTACCCTGTCACCAGTGTTTTGGCCAAAAGGTCATCCTCATTCCAGCATTATTTTGCTGAGGAAGCCATCCCTGCCTTCCACTCGCATGGGAAATGCAATGAGGCAGCAGAAGGCAGAGGAGGAGGAGGTGATTTGGAGTCCTGGCGGTGATCAGGAGGATATGGGGTGGGTTTCAAGAGGGATGTTTCATCCCTCCCAAACTCTTGAGACCCCATTCACACCTGAGGGTTTTGTAGCTCGAAGCTTCAAAACTCCCAGGAGAAAAAAAAATCAATATTACTGTATGGAAATGGTTCACATCTCCACTCCAAGTCGCCGGAAACTCAGTTTTGGAGATACTTTTGTAGCTCCACTCGGGCAGATTGATGCGTTTTTGGTGCGTTTTAATTCCTATAGAAATACATGGAAACATGCAAATTGTGCTGTTTCATGTGCTTTAGCGCAATTTTTCGCATGACCAAGAATGTTTTTCTGGCATGGCAAAACATGGCAACAATTGATGTCACAGGTGATTTTTTATTTTTTTTTCAAAAAGCCTGAAAACGCCTGAGCAAATTGCGCATAAACATTTGCAAACGTGCTTAAAAACATGAGAAAAAATGCACAAAAATGCTACGCTCAGGTGTGAATGGGACCTGAGAGTTGTACATGGATAGGGTGAGAATGGAGGGACTCAGGATCCTCTACTGCAGTCAATGTTTAATGAGTTGTCATTAGGAGCACCTTCTTAAATTGAAAGGACTAATCTGTGTACCACATGAGCCAGTCTGTGGGAGCCAGAAATATTGTTGGTTGGTAGGGGATCAAATACTTATTTTACTCTCTGAACGGCAACTCAATTTATAACATTACAATTAGTTGGCTTTTTGGTTGATATTCTGTCTCCATCATTTAAAATACACCTATGATAAAAATTATAGACCCTTCATTTCTTTGAAGTGGGAAAACTTACAAAATCTGCTGGGGATCAAATAATTGTTTTCGCCACTGTATAACACACAAAAACAGATACACATTCACTCTCTCTAATTCTCGTCACACCTCACTGAAGAAGAAGCAAATGCAAAAATAGAATCATATCAAGCTAAGACACAGCATTCATTTTACTTAGCAAAGAGTACCATATTTTTCTGATCTTATTTGGACAACCTTGACCATTAACGATGAGTTTGTATATTTAGATTAGGTTATCATTGACAGGTCTGAGTCTTTCCAATTCATGCAAAATATGTACCAGGCATAGAACAGTGTCAGACAATGTCCTTGGATACTTTAAAGCAGGGGTAGGCAACCTGAGAGAATCAAAGGTCACTATGGTACGGCACTTTTTTAAAATATATATATATATAATATATATAATATATATATATTATATATATATATATATATATATATATATATAAAGTTAACTAGCAAGCCCCAATAAAAAGTAAGGACATCCTGAAGAAAACCTACTTTTTTAAAGTTAGCTACAGCAAGAAACTCAGCACTCATTTTCTTTCCCGATTTTGTTCTGGAGAATAATTGGTCACCCTTACAAGATTGATGCCAGAAGTCTTCATGAAGGCAGAACTTCTGGTACTGCAGGCTGACTTCCTCAACTAGTTTCACACCTGGCTAGCCTCAGTGCTAGCCTGACTGTCTGCTGAGTTCTGGCCAGTATAAGTAGTATGCAGGGTAGTGTCCAGGGGTCCGTAGTAGGATTGACAGCCAAGGTTGCGAATGGCGGTGCGGGTAGGGCAAAATGTATATACGTGATTTTGCGCATCCATGCCGCCCTGTAGCAGTATTTCTGCTATAGGCCGGTGCTGAAGCAGTTAACACACAAATATGTAAACAAAGAATGTTCGGCAATTCTATTGTCCCACTAATTTCATCTGAAGAAGCTAATATAGTTGCAGCCACTTGGCCACTGACTAACTGCTTTAATCTGGCCACTCCTCTACAACATTGGTGGTGCAACCATGAATTCCTTCCCTCCTCTCACTTTTATTACTGTACAGAAATGTAAATTGCTCTTATTATAAACAATCACAGAATATGCCTAATAGCCTACCTCAAATTAGAAATTGACTGACAATAAGAGGTTTAATGGCACAAGGTGCCTTTATATTGTACCTGAGTGTTCCAGCCTGTCTTTTGTGAATCCAGTGGACATTCTGACTCCCTATAAATGTTTAGAATCTATATTATTAAGCTTGTATTGTGTTCTGCCTCATGCAGGTTCAACAATGTTTCTAAATAGAGTTTTAATATAGAGTAAAATAAAATAGAGTCTAAATTTAGAGTTTTGGAAGTTAGTTAAGTGAAGCAATAAAGTTCCCATTGGAAAAATTAGGGTTGATTATTTTCTTTAACATGAACTAATAGATTTTTTGCTTCATTGTTTTTTTTCCAGTAATTCCATTAAGCTGGTAAATCTTTGCTCCATTTTTATCAGCACTTGGTTAACAGCCGCGGGTTTCATTCATTTGGTGAGTATTGCTTATTCTTTTTTTTAACCCAAAGCAACTGATAAATATAGTATATGTTTGCTAATATTATTTACTATTATTATTATAGGTTTTGTTTATATTCATTCATTACAGTTAACCAAAAACAGAAAAAACACGTTCTATAATAGGACAATGACTTTAGCGTTTTAAAACTTTGTTTTTCCCTTACAACTTATTATTTTGAATATATATGCGTTCCCAGCTGTGCTTTTTTCAGTTTCATTTAAAATTATATTCTATTACATAACTATTTAACTGTTCAACACTTTTAAATTAGAAAACCCTAGCTATAACTATGCTTAAAAACGTTTCGCCCCACTTCCCTCTACCTATGTTGCCTAACCTGTATAAAAAGAACTTTGTACTTACCTATTTTTGCTCCACTTTGATCTGGCCACGTGATTCTGCAAATCTGTGTAAGGGAGTGCTCAACAATGGTTTTATATTTTTTTAGAGCCAAGATCACACCCATAGGCCCCCATTACCCAGCCATTGTTGGTGCTCCCTCCTCTCCTCTGCAGCACCTGTTTACTGACACAGGGAAGCCAAAGCTATGGGATTACGTGACCTGAATAGAGTTGATTAAATCTGGGTAAATACGCACTGAAAATCAGCTGGTTCAGCAGAAATCAGACAAATTGTTGTCACTACATACCCCTGTGTGTTTAACATAAGCCAGTCGTTAGACCAGTTTCTGTCGAACTGGTCTTCTAGAAAACCAGTATTCCATCGGGCCGGTGCAGATCAGCACTGACCTGTGTATTCTGATAGGGGGAAACGGGGGATCTCTGTTTCTTTTTTTGTTCAATCTGCTGGTTGAACAAAAAAAAAAAAAAAAAAACTCTTTATACCATGCTTTACACTTTTCTTCCAATTTAAATGCAGAGTAACTTTCTTTTTCTTTGGTCCATGAAGTCTTTTCCATTGGAATCACTGGGAAGTTATGTAAAAGCTTGGATGGTTTATTATAGTTCTGTCTGGATGGGTTGCTCTTTTCTGTAACACCATTCAGTAACCTTCCAGGCTTATGTAATGTGGCTGAAACCCGAATGAAGGAAAGCAATATGGCTGAAACTTGAATGAAGGAAAGCAAAAATATTGTACTAGATTGTGAGTGAATACACAAACAAGACACCAACACAGTACTTAGGAGAAAATTTGTCATTAACCCTCATCCATATCTTCATCTTTTGCAACAGGGACAGTTCTGCTTCAATAAATGGCAAGCTAAAAGTGTAGCACATTGTTTTAATAAATAAATAGTGTGTATATATAAATGTATATATGTATATATATACGTGTGTGTGTATATGTGTGTGTGTGTGTATATATATATATATATATATATATATATATATATATATATATATATATATATGTCGCCATGTCCAGATGCCTAAATGCATTGAGTTTCTGCCATGTGATTGGCTGATTAGCAGTTTGTGTTACCAAGCAATTGAATAGGTTTACCTAATAAAGTATGTGTATGTAATATATATATATATATATATATATATATATATACACACACGCACACACACTATATTGCCAAAAATATTGGGATGCCTGCCTTTACAAACACATGGACTTTAATGGCATCCCATTCTTGGTCCGTAGGGTTCAATATTGTGTTAGCCCACCCTTTGCAGCTATAACAGCTTCAACTCTTCTTGGAAGGCTGTCCACAAGGTTTAGGAGTGTGCCTATTGGAATGTTTGACCATTCTTTCAGAAGCGCATTTGTGATGTCGGATGAGAAGGCCTGGCTTGCAGTCTCCGCTGTAATTCATCCCAAAGGTGTGTCTATTGGGTTGAGGTCAGGACTCTGTGCAGGCCAGTCATGTTCCTCCACCCCAAATTGGCTCATCCATGTCTTTATGGACCTTGTTTTTTGTACTGGTGCAGGGTCATGTTGGAACAGGAAGGGGCCATCACACAACTGTTCCCACAAAGTTGGAAGCGTGAAATTGTCCAAAATGTCTTGGTATGCTGACGCCTTAAGAGTTCCCTTCACTGGAACTAAGGGACCAAGCCCAACCCCTGAAAAACAACCCCAAACCATAATCCCCCCTCCACCAAACTTTACACTTGGCACAATGCAGTCAGACAAGTACCATTCTCCTGGCACCCGCCAAACCCAGACACGTCCATCGGATTGCCAGACAGATGAGCATGATTCATCACTCCAGAGGACACATCTCTGCTACTATAGAGTCCAGTAATGGTGTGCTTTACACCACTGCATCCTACGCTTTGCATTGGACTTGGTGATGTAAGACTTGGATGCAACCTCTCGGCCATGGAAACCCATTCCGCGAAGCTCTCTACACACTGTTGTTGTGCTAATCTGAAGGCCATACGAAGTTTGGAGGTCTTCATCTATTGACTCTGTAGACAATAGGCGACTTCTGCACACTGTGCATGTCAGCATGTGCTGACCCCGCTCTGTCATTTGTACATGGCCTGCCACCTCATGGCTGAGTTGCTGTTTTTCCCAGTTGCCTCCACTTTGTTATAATACCACTAACAGTTGACCATGGAATCTTTTGTAGCAAGGAAATTTCACAGATGGACTTATTGCACAGGTGGCAACCTATCACGGTACCACTCTTGAATTCACTGAGCTCCTGAGAGCGACCTATTCTTTCACAAATGTTTGTAGAAGCAGTCTGCATGCCTAGGTGCTTGATTTTATACACCTGTGGCCATGGAATGATTGGAAAACCTGAATCCAATGATTTGGAGGGATGTCCTTCAAATTGGGATGAATTAGAGTGGAGACTGCGAGACAGGTCTTCTCATCCGACATCAGTGCCTGACCTCACAAATGCGCTTCTGGAACAATGGTCAAAAATTGCCATAGACACACTCCTAACCTTGTGGACAGCCTTCCCAGAAGAGTTGAAGGAAGCTGTTAAAGCTGCAAAGTATTGAATTCTACGGACTAAGACTGGGATTCCATTTAAAGTTCACGTGCTTGTAAAGCATTTGACAATATAGTGTGTGTGGGTATATATATATATATATATATATATATATATATATATACAGTATAGTATAGACATACACACACACTTTATTAGGTACATCTACTCAATTGCTTGGTATCACAAACTGCTAATCAGCCATTCACATGGCAGCAACTCAATGCATTTAGGCATCTGGACATGGTGAAGACCACTTGCTGAAGTTCAAACTGAGCATCATAATAGGGAAGAAAGCGGTTTTAAGTGACTTTGAATGTGGCATGGCTGTTGGTGCCAGACAGGCCGGTCTTAAGTATTTAAAAAACTGCTTATTTACTGTGATTTTCACGCACAACCATCTCTTAGGTTTACAGAGAATGGTCCGAAAAAGAGAATATATCCATTGAGCTGCAGTTGTGTGGACACAAAATGCCTTGTTGATGTCAGAGGAGAATGGGCAGACTGGTTCGAGATGATAGGCAAGAGTAACTCATGTCCACTCCAGCATTATCAAGGTGTACCTAATAAAGTGGCCAGTGAGCGTATATATACAGTATATTGTATATGTACAGTTAAAACACAAAAAAGGAGCTGTTTTACGTCTCATGGAATCTGTATTTACTCTGCCACACCACAAAACACTGTTGTCAGGGGACCTAGGACCTGTTTTTATTTCTGTAGTGGTTCAGTAACATAGTTATCCTCTCTTCATCCACCCTGACACTGGACAGTAAAAGGAGAACAGCAAATGATGGGCTCATCTCTCTATCACTGTGCTGTCTCCTATCCTAAGAACATTTAACAAGGATGTAGAACATCCTAAGAACTTCAGCACATCTGATTGACTCCTTGTACTGCTCTGGTATTAATAAATACAGAGCTGCACTAATTAGTATTTTTTATTTCTGTTTAACTTTAACTGTGCAACTTTATGAAATGTTTCTATTTCAAAATACAAAGAAGTGTTCTGTGTTCCATCTAGGTCGAGAACTCTGGGGACCCATGGGACGATTTTCGAAACTCACAGAGCATTTCATATTGGGAATGTGTCTACTTGCTAATGGTTACCATGTCAACTGTGGGATATGGTGATGTTTATGCAAAAACCACCCTTGGCCGTCTCTTCATGGTCTTCTTCATTCTTGGCGGTTTGGTAAAAATTCTTAATTTGCTATAACAGTATGTTTGTTTTCAGTTTCATAGAAACCTGCAGAGCATTGCAAACCCATCTTCTGTTCACCTTGGCTACATAAAGAATACATGAAACTGTATTTCATGGACTCTAATCCAATTTCTATGGAAAACTATAATGTTCGAGTTCTACTTTAGTTTACAATGTTTTATTTTTTTTTATTACCTGACCAAATTTTACAGACAGCCACAGTTTAGAGGATGATTTATTCATTAATAAACCTGTTGAATTAAAAAGTACTTTTGGTATCTGTATGAAGAGAGTAGATGGGCTATTGTATAAAACAACCCTTATTGTACTAACATAACTTAAGGTGACTGTCCTTCATGCAGGACAATTCAACAGATTCATTCATTGCTGTCCTATGCAGCTGCACTTACGTGCACATTTTTGGTAAGGCCTACACAACCTGCCACCATATAACAGCGCAGGATGCTTAAGTTGTCACCAGGTAGATCACCAACAGCCATCGCTGTCACATGGGAGGAAGAGGAGAATGCATTTCCTTTCACTCTCAGGGATTGAACCAAGTGATGATAGGGTAAAGGGTAGGTGTGTATGTGCAGCTGGAGAGGGTGTTTGTTAGGTGCATCTTTGCCCTGTATGGGCAAAGCACAAATTCACTTTAAAATACAAAATGTAGCTACACCAAAGTACTTTTTTAGCAGTAGGTATAATTTAAGGCCGAAGGTGTTTCTTATATCTCTTAGAGATTTTGTTTTGAAATCTGTTGCCGACCCTGTTTCAGTTCAGTCTTATTTCTTGGTAAAGAAGGGATGATCTAACCTCTGCAGTTGAAATGGGGAAGTTCTTATTATAATTGCAAAAATGTGGTGCAGACCTGATAACCCAACTGAAGGGACCTTACTTACAGAGTCCCTAAGATACTTATAAGAAACCTACATTGAATAAAATACATAGGGTGCTAGTGGTTCTTCTTAAAAGACATTGTGCTTGGCTACATATTATCAGACTGGTAGCATAAAGACTTTCCAACTACTGTAAGTAACTGAAAATAAACAAAGCTGATCAGAAGGATTGACATCACTGCCTGCATAATTGTTACAAGTTGGTGACACAAATGATTTGATAACAGAGACAAGCAGGTAACTGGCATTCACAGGAGATCAGTGATAAGTCTTTATATTTTATTTGTTACACAATAAGATGCGCTCACTGAAGTCTGACCACATCTTAAAGAGATTACATTACAGTAAAAACTTTTATATACCAATACTTGATGTTTTGAATGGCAATCTAAAAATACGAAAGCTATAACAATGAATCAAAAGCACACTAGATTTCTCAGATAACTTTTAATAAGTAAATGACAGAAAATATAAATATTGAACTTACCAGGAGTCCTATAGTCATGGGCATAGTCAGTATAGACACTAGAAACAGATCCCTCAAATGTAGCAGCTTCCTCTCAATATATCTGCTATAGAGAGGGCAGTGAGAAGCAACTTCAGGCAGGCACAGGAAATCAGCTGCACTAAGCTGTAACAAAGCTGCCTTAAAGTAACACTAAACTCTGGATTAAAAAATAAAATTCTATCCAAGTATGTATTCTTAACTCAAAAAGTACCTTCTGTTGCTCTTAGGCGCCTCCAAATCTCCAGATTTCCTGTATTAGCTTCTGTGATTCAGCTTCCTCTTGGAGGGTAGCTGCATTCATTCTCCATGGTCCCACTGTATGTAAAAATGTAGCCACCATCTTTTGCTTGCTGCCAAGATGGACTATTGTATGAGTAGGGTGCATAGAGTGGTGCACCAACAAATGGAAGTGAGGGGGCAAAAGAGAGTTTCAGGAGTTTGCGGAGAAAATTACAAGGAGGCATAAAAACATAGTAAGAAATATTTTTTTATGAAAAATGGATTAAAGAGTCAATAAGTGGTGGGTGTGTATGGATTATTTTTTGGGGAATAAGAATATTGTTTAGTTTTATTTTACCTCTCTTCCCAACTGACAATGAACCCCTGTTTTTGCTAAATAACAAAGTGGAAGCATCCCTCGTTAACCTTATTTACTGTGGTGAAAATTGTTTAGTAGCACAGCAGTAAAGATCCACCCTCTGCCTGGAAGGTAAGGGGAGAGATTCTCTTTATCATGCGGAGCAGTCTTTCATTTTATTTGTAATTTTTCAATAAAGTGAAAAACTACTTTCATATTCCCCACTCTGGCAGCATAATTTAGGCAAAAGTAACATGGCAAATCATTATTATAAAAGCAGGCATATTGCAGATCTCTATGGTACATAATCCGTTAAGGACAGAATATATTACAGTTGAGATTTGTCAGAGTCAAAGTGCTCTACAAATGTTACTTCAGAAGTTTAGCCATCTAAAGTAATTTTGCTGTACAGTCTTACATTTCAGTGTTGAAGATGAAGCTACATGCTATATAAATACAATGTTTGAGATGAACATTAACTTTTGCACTTCTCAGGCTTTCAAATATTCCTTTATTAAGTACTTGAATAATTAGCAGGACTAGTATTGTAATTTAACTCTCAAAACACTTCAATATATCACTTAGGATGAACTGGTACAATATTGACTGCCAACCCTTTATATAATAAAAAAAGATTGCCTTTTACTGTGACATTCAAAACAGTTAATAATACAACCTGTTTTTAACAGGCTGCTAGAGGTGCAGGGTTTATATTTGAGGCATTGTAACCAATTTGTTGCCTTAGGATATAGCATATACATTTATAGGTAAATGCTTAATATTTTTTACTAATTACATCTGGAATGATTCAAATCACAGAAGCTCTGGTGATTTGTTTTCTTATTTCATAATCCATGATGTTTTAAAACTCTGCAACGATGCTTGGGTAATGACTAGCATGTGATGTGGTGTGGTGCTCTGCAGGTTTTTATACTATAATCTACACACATTTTTATGAATATTTGCTAAATTCAGGAGAGATTTATGTCCACAGTGCTGATTTCTGCTAATTAATATTTAGGGGTATTCTTTGTATTGAGAACCATTTACAGCAACTGGCCTAAATGTGTTACATACAGTTAATGGCCTCAATTGTTTACTTGTGCCATTATTTAGAATACAGCAGTTTCTTAATTTAATTTAGCTTTCCCTTAGCAGAATGGCTTGTGGGCTGAGTGGACCTCATTAGTTGTATACGCTAGAGAGTGTAGGAGACAAGTGTATTGCCCAAATAAACAGATGCTGGAGACTAGATATTAGAAACCTTGAGTTTTATGTAATTTATATGATTTTTGCACTGTTTTATATTTCATTACTTTTTACTTACCAGTTCTTTGCTGAAGTTGACTAGGGCACTCTTGCTTGTCTGTTCAGTAAAGAAAAGGCTAAGTAGGACATAGGGGCTTATATATATTTAAAAATATTTTGTATTTATTTTATGGTTTCAGTCTACTCCCTCTTTGCTTTTACCCTTTTTTGTCATCCCTTAGACCCTAACTATCCCAACAAACAATATGAAATAACACTGGGTCAAAGTGCAGGCATGTTGGAGTTGCCATAGAG